TTAATTTTTTTCACATTGGAGATATGTGACATCATGCATGTAAAATAGGTTATGAATGTTTTTTTTATGACAACTTTTAAGGGAAGTAGTGATTTGGCATCCCTGTTACATAATGTTCCAATGTTAGATAAGAGATAAAACAAATCGGAAATATATATCTCAAAATTGTAAAATGAAATTGTGAACAGAACGGGGAAAAAAAGGCCTTTCCATCTCAGATCTGTTTCCCTGCGATTCTTGTGAATGTTTCGGCAGTTCCATAGGCAGGATTTGTCTCGGCTGCTCCTATGGTTTATCGATTGCCATTTTGCACTTCCTCCTAACAAACACACGCCACTGACATTCAGTTTTAAAAGTGACACAGAACCTACACTGTCAATTATATGAGATGTATTAGTTTGTCCCCAGGGATCTGTATATGGTGTCCAGTACAACAGAAACACCAGGATGAGAGAGAGACAGACAGACAGAGAAACAGACAACCCTGCAGAAAAACTAGCTTAAACCAGACTAAAGTGGTTTGTAGGTCTTAGCTGTTAGGTATAGGGATGCAGAGAGATATTAAAATTCCGGAGTGTCTATTTACATTAAGTGAAAATAGCCCACTTTGTTGGCAAAAGCTATTTACACTAACTCGACCCACCAACCATGTGATTTGGCTAGTCAACACTATAAAAGATGATCATTTAACAACAGCTCCATGGTGTAGATGGTGAATCGCTTATCGTAGTCTTATTGATGCGATCGACCCGGGTTTGAATCCGCCTTTTAAAAATATTATATCACATCGGAAAGGAATTTATTTTCAATAAAAATGAAGGAAATAATCAAAAAGTTGAAAATAAAGTATCGGGTAGGTGTAGTGAGGGCTTTATTGTCCTAATAAGGTGGCATTTAATAATTTGAATTAAAAATATAATTTACACAATACGTTATTATTGTGTACTGTTTTAAAATGTTGTGTAAATAGCAGAAAAACCTGCTATTTTAACATAGTGTAAATAAAATCTATAGCTATTTGCACTTAGTGTAATTAGCCTCTATCTATATTTACACTTAGTGAAAATAGCTTCTGCCTTAAAATTCTGGACGATACTAATAATTATTTTCATGTTCTGGTCGATATCATAATGATATACTAGAATTTAGTCATCACAGCACTAATGTTAAAAAAAATTACATTAAATATGAAAACTTTATATTTATTTAGAGATTATTTATTTAGTATTTAACAGTGTTATTATATTATTGGTAATCTAAATGTAAAAATGGGAAATGACCATAAGCAATTAGATTTCTATAACAAATTCAGTAAAAAAAAAAAAGTCTCTGATATTCACTGACAGCCAATATTGTAGTGATATATTGCACATTCTTAGTCTGATGTGATTGTTTTAGAGGGGTTTTGGACAGCTAAAAAGGCTAGGAGACTAGTTAAACAAGCAGAACACCATCTGACCATGGTGGGAAATCTGCTAGACCAGTTTAAACCGGATATGAACCACCATAAGTGGTTCAAGCAGCTTTTTTAGCAGACTGGAACACTCTGAAAGCAGACTTCCAGGAATATCAGGTGTATTGTTGTATGGGAACAATACGTCTATATATGTGTGCCTTCCATAGGCGGTGGGTGAACCAACTTCAGGGTAAGGCTAAAAGCAGCCAAATGTATTAAAGGGGTCATATGATGTTGCTAAAAAGAACATTATTTTGTGTATTTGACGTAATGAAATGTGTTTATGCGGTTTAAGTTAAAAAAACACATTATTTTCCACATACTGTACATTACTGTTTCTCCTCTATGCCCCGCCTTTCTGAAACGCAACGATTTTTACAAAGCTCATCAGTCTGAAAAGCGTCCGGCGGGCTTGCGGCAACCACATGTGACGACCCCGGGCTGGACTCCGCTTCGTCCACGGTGAAAGCCATTTAATGGGACTGAATTTGTATTTAACGTGTTTACAATTGAATAAAAACGTTAGAAATGGATAATTATGTAACGTTACCTTTCCACGGTTATTCAAACAGTGAATAAATTATAGAAAGTGACATTATCACTAACATTGATCTATCGCGAGTTTAAGCACTCTCAAAAAAAACTAAACTATCGTTATAATCACTGAAGCTGTATACACTGTGAAATGAATCTCTTACTTACATTGTGCGTACATCTGCGCTTTGTTGTTTATGATAAAAGAATTCGCAAGAGTCCGGAATTCAGTCAGCGAACGCGCGTGCACTCAACAAAACTGATGAGTTTCAACGATGACTCATCTGAACGACTCTGATTGGCCATTGCATTCCTAAGCTCAACAGAATTGTGCGTGATTGGTTAAAATGCGCAACACTGTAAAAACGCCTAAAATGAAATACGGTGCAACATGAGCAGATCTTAATTTAATGCCGCAATCGACACTGTCTATTCATATTCACTTTGTTAGCAACAGACACAATAGATTTAATTTGTTTGTGCAGGGGCATTTTTGTCCAATTTAGTGGCATTTTTGCACCAAGTCCCTGTGGCCAGGGGAAGGCTAAGCCCCAGTCAGCTTTATACACGCTCCGCCTATGGTGCCTTCTTTTTATTTATATACGTGCCTTTCTTTAAATTCTTTTTAATTATGCTGTACTTCATCTAGCAGTTTAACAAAAGAATGTGTTCTGTTTTGTAACTTTATTGTACTACAAAAAATCTAAAACAATGCTTGACCTGTATTTTCGTGTAAAGCACAGGCCAAAAGCACAGACTTTCTTGTGTCATCGTCTGCAAGACCTTATATTCAACTTATGTTCTTGTTGTGGTTGACTGATTTAGCCATTTATGGATTCCGATTTCAGTTGTAGTTTCCAGGTAGCCATTGATTAATGCCCAGCCAGAGCCTAGTGGGAGGCGTCCGTGGCTTTGCCTGTATTGATTCAATTAGTTCTGAGGGTTTGCTAGTGTTCTATGCAAATCGCCTTTGTTAGCGGCCTCAGCTAACAGAGACTGATTAGCATCGCCAGCTGTCTGCTGGGTACTTCTAATACCCATGCCAGCTGCCATGGTTGTGTACCAGTTGCTTAACGTCGGTGATGCCCTGAAAAGTGCCAACTTGAGTTCATTTTCAAGAGTAAGGTACATGATTAGTTCAAAAAGCTGAAGGTTACCTGTAGCACAGCTATAAGTTTGAAGATTTACACTCAAAGGCATGAATTTCACTACATTTGCTTCTGTTTCCAAAGATGTTCTGCCCGGCGCTTGAGAGAAACGTCTGATATACTCGTAGCAGTGGGTGAAAGAAATAAAATAATAAATCTGCCATCTGTGTCTTCCTTTCAGTGTCACTGGTTGCCACCTACAACTCTGATATCATGTCTATCGTGGCACTTAACTTCCCTCTCCCTTCTTCACTGGAATGAGTCGGTCGCCCTCTCATAAGATCCATCTGTGCACCAGATCAGCTATTTTTCTCTTTTAATTCGCCTTTGATTTAGAATCACTTTCAAGTGTGTCCTCTTGTTTGTGTGGGTGTGCGTGATGAATTAACACCAGCGAGGAAGTACAAACAAAAAGCAACATAAAAAAATAACCATGAAATTAGGCAGTGAGCGGACCTTTGACCTCATGGAAGAAATAGGCATTGATCGGGTTGGGGTATGAGGTAAGACCAAAGCGCAATCACATTGCCTCACGAACACTGGAGTAACTGATGACAAAAGGTCAGCTTTTATATATATATGAAGAGTTCATTTGCAAAAACCGATAAACGCCACTTTAAAAAAAATGAGCTGATTGCCGTGCATTATTCTCCACATATAGCGCGATCTGAACCCTAAACACGTTTTGTCAAAAAAGCCAGTTTTGTCCACTTTCAAGGCATCGCAAGTTCACGTTTTACTGCAGAAGCCGACAAGTGCTCTTGTGGTATTTGAACATTAGCCGATAAGTCCATTTTAGCGAATCAGTGCGCTGTATTGCGTAATTTTGTAATATTTTTACAATTTTAAAATATTTAATTTGTCTAACAGTTAAATACAGTGTATAAACATGTCCAGCAGTGTATATTCATACTGTGTACACAGTATATATAGAACAGAAATCTGTAATTTTGTCATTTGTGTGTGAGTCTACTAGGCCAAACTTAACTGAGGAAGTTTTGTGTTTGTTTGCATATTTACGCATTAATGGTTTCATGTAAGCTGCACAGTTTGTCAGTTCGTTTCACTGTTTAAATGGCTTCAATATGGTTGCCTATAAAATGCAGCTTGTTTAACTATAACAGGTTTTATGAGCATTAGCTGTTATATTTTCTCCATCAACAGCAATTAAGCTAACAAAGCTGTACTTCTTAACAGAGTGTGGTTTTGTGTGTGTGCTTGTGAGAAAAATCAACAGCAGCCCTTCATATAGCAAATAATTATACGCATTCTATACAAAAAATCCATATTTATTCTCAAAATATATATCTTGAGAAAATTTTTCATTAAATCCTATGCATATCTCTTTAAATAAAAGTGGATTTTTAAAAAATAAATATGAATAGGATTTTATGCATCCTGTACATACTCATATATTTGGAAAATACTGTTCATTGCATAAAAACTTATAACCTTAATAATAGAAATACTTGTAATATTTAAAAAAATTTTGAAGGAAATGAAAATGGGGTTTGCACGTTTGTTTGGTTCTAGTCTTTTCCTTTCTCTAGATATAACTTAGGTTCCTCCTCCAGAGCAAGGGGAAGTTTATTTTTTAATGGCATTTGAAAAAGTAATAGCACACCTCTTCTGTGACCAACCTGTTTTTGTAATGAGAATACTAAATTAAGTTAAAAATTTCTTGGGTTACACTTTATTTTAAAGTGCCCTTGTTACAGTGTAATTATACATTTAAGTACTAAGTAATATTAACTACATGCACTTACTATATGGTTAGGATTAGGGTCTAAGAACGTGTACGTGTAACAAGGACCCCGTAAAATAAAATGTTACCGTTTCTTGTTTTAAGATGAACAGCTTACCTGTGTAGATGAATCTTCCTGGTGTGCCTTTGCAAAACTGTTTGGACTTATAGGAGAGTGTGACCTCTACCACCCCGGGGATGTGACGCGGAGGGGTCTGAACTCTGATGGCATGAGGCGTGATGAGCTGTGAGGAGAAAATGAGATAGAGAGAGGACGTCAGACTCAAGGAGGTCTATTTTACCTGGAGATACCTGGCATTTCCGTTCCCCTCAATGGCAGTTGCTTGGCTGGCACAGGAAGTATGAGAATTGAAATCTACCATCTTTGACAATGGGCGCTCAGTTCTGAAGTTCGGTCGTTTTGAGCCAATCATTAGAGCCGTAAATGCCACGTGACTAAATAATAGCTCTGAAGCTTCAGGAAAATAATGACTAGTGACTATCCTGTACTGTGAAATGAAAGGCAACATATACTGACAATAAAAATCCCATTGACAAAAGGTAATGAAAAAAGTCTCAGAACAGTGAAGTTAGTTCTGAGAAAAACTTTGTTGGCAAAAGTTGTTCATTTGCCCAGGCTGATTATGTTCTTTGATCCAGTTCTGATCAGTAAACAATCTGACTGTGTGTGTGCCATATGTGTGTTTGTACGTGAGTGTATGAATCTAGTCTAATCAGTATCAGGCTGTTTATGGTGGGTGGTGAAGGGATGGCGTAGATGAAGGCTGGAAGAGGACAGGTGGAGCTCCTCAGAGACGTAATTAACAGCGCACTGTCTTTCAGCATCTCACAGTCTGTGTGCATGTGGTTCATATGAGCTGTTGTCTAAAACATCTTTGAACATTTGTCTCTCACAGTCATAAATTTAATTTCAAAACAGTAAACAAGTGAACTTAGCTTGACAGCATTTATGGCATTAGACGCACTCCGGATGCGAAAGCGTTCCAGTCAAATTCTAGTCAAGGCAATCATAGAATGCAAAATAAATGTGAAAAATAAATCTAAAAGGAGTCAAGAGAAATGCTGACTGAATTCAGAATAGCACATTCCTTTAAAGTGGCAGGAAAAGTAACTCTATTGGTAATGACGGAACTTGCAACCATAGTTGCTTTTGGGAAACGCACCCTTGGTTAGTGGCTACTTGTTCCTCCTAACTGCCCGTTTGACTACTACAGTACTGCACATGCTATAGAAAGACACAAGGTCCTTTAGAAGTCCACAAAACGACGTCTTCGGAGCGCAATGTTAATGAATGCTGCTATTTGAGAACGACAGACAAAAATGACTGTGTTCAGGAGACGGTGAATGGGTAGGAGGAGAAGAAATGAAAGAAACAGATCTTCCTTGGAGCCTCCCCTGCTCTTGTTCTCTTCCTCCCTCGTTAGATGCTATCTGTGGTAATCAGATCCCCGCTGGCACTGCAGCAGAAGGGAACTACGTGGCTCTTGATGGGCCCCCCGTGTACGGAGGTCACGGGGTCAGGAGGTAAAGGTCACAAGGTTATGAGGTCCACAGGAACCGCTATAGGGAGATTTCAGCACAGTGTATTTAATCGGTACCAGATGTAGTTCATCACACACACACACACACACACACACACACACAGTAATTAGCTCATTTAGCACTTAGCATCAGCAGATCAAAGAGGTTAGCTGAATATAAATTTGGTAAATTTGTATCAGGGTTGGTGCTTGATGAACACTCAGTAGTTCTCACGAAGAGTGGTGGTCTGAAGTGAGTAAGTACTACAAAACACTCCAGATCAATGTGTTTGTATATGAGATTGGCCACCACTGATTTAAAGCCGCCGCTATTGAGCAGTTAGCCAGCGTTAAACAAGCTGCTCAGTTTCTTGTACAAAGACATGTCAAAGCAATTGAGCAGCTATTGAAAGTATCACATTTCTTAATCACTTAAGCACAGTAACTAAATCACCTGCATAATGTCGGCCTAATGTATTCGGATAGGACAATGGGTGTCATTGACAGCTTCGGGAAAGGTGACAGATGTAACTGCATTAAGCCAACAACACTGGAGGACTTTTATTAATGTCGTATTTAAGATATCATTGACACTAAACTAAATGTAGACTATTTGAACTTTGACTAATCACATTTTTTTTTTTTAAATAGTATGCAAGGAATAATTGACAATGGGCCATTGAATTACCATACACCTTAGGTGGCAAAGCGGTCATGACACAAGTGTGCATTAATTTTCAATAACTCAACAGTCTAAAGTGTAAAAAACTAAATTATTCCGCTAATATCATGTTTTCTACATGTACATGTTTATGTAGTGTCCTTACCTCTTTCTTAAGCTATCACTACTTCACTACTTCACTACTCGCACATGTCACGATTGAGTTTACCGAAAATCGTACGGAGACAGTCACACACGACACGAATTTACTACGATTTTCACAAATTCTGACGTAGGCCTAAGCATTACGTTTCGCGCCATTTATAAAAATATGGATCCTGAGGACGAAATCGTTTTCTTTGTGGCAGGCAGCTATGGCTTGTGACGTCCAAAAAAAAAGAAATGAAGATGAAGGACATGGCAAAGAGAATGGCTGAAAAGCAGAGAAAAGCATGGACTTTCTGTTCTTCATAAACAACTCGAGGCGAGTAGGCTATTTCTGAATTTCTGCTCGTTTTGCCGGAAATACAACAGGCATATTCATTCATAAAGCTGAACGGCAAATTTGGCACAATTCGAAATAACAAATAAAAAACAGAGCTGTATAATTAAACTAAAATGACTATATAGACTATTTATAAACATAATATGTGGTTTTTGTCATCTTCTGATTGGTCAACTTCAGATGGATCGCCAAAATCATCTCGTTCAACGGCACATACGCCACAAATTTAAACTGACAGCATCTGATTTTTTTTTTTACATGTTTTAAAATTATCGGGAGGACGGGAGGTGCTCGTAATGTTCTCGGATCGGCCCATAATTCTTCTCACACGGTATGAGCCGCAACCATGCGCGCATCTGCGATTTTCTCCCGAGAGAAAAAAATCGCCTGCTAGCTCGTACGACAGCAAAAAACGCACCATGTACACCCACCTTTATTAAAGAACATGGTGATGTGAAAATGAAAGCATTGTGGTCAACAATACATTTTTTGTATATTTGGATGTACATTTAAATGAGCATCTAAGAACATATATATGAAAGCTATTTCCTACCAATAATTATGAGATAAAACGTTGAAATCATAACAAAAATTATGAGACAAAATTTTACTGCTGACTTACAAGCTTAATATGACTGTTTAGCACAAATTATGACTTTTATCTCATAAATGTTTTGTTATAATTATGACAGCCTATTTTTCAACTTGTCAGAATTTCAACTTACAACATGTACATAGTTTTTGTTTCATAATCATAACTTTATCTTACATGATTTAGTATGTCAGAGTTGTGACTTTTTATTAATTCGTTTTTTAATTACTGACTTTTTATTTTATCATAATTACGATTTGTTATTTTCTAATTTAATTTATTTATTTATTATTTAATTTATTTATTTATAATATGTGGACTTTAATACACAGCTTTAGCAACATAAATATCTTTAGGAAATATTGAATTTATTTTTACGTATATTTCTGTTCTTATATTTTTTTACCATTATACTTTTTGAGTCCTAAGCCTAACCTCAATTTTATACATTTGAAGTAATAGACAACTACATTTTAAGGTGACAATGATTTTAGTTCGAAAACTTTTTTTAGACGCTGTCAGTATGTTAATAATGTATGTTTCATTGTCAATGTAATCATACAAAAGTGTAAGAACCATGCTTTGTGTATAAATACCTATAATTACTAATGAGATCACACTGTAGCGACAAGCAGTGAGAAAAAGCAAAGTTCAGCTGGACAGATGGCAATATGACTTGCAAACTCACCTCACTCCAGACTAACATGGTTCCGAAGATGACCTGCAGCCCGTCGAAGAAGTTGTCTCCGATGATGATGACAGTAGCACCTCCTGTTGTCCAGCCTTCACTGGGACTAATGGCTTTGATACAAGGTGCAGCTGCTTCCAGAAACGCCACAGGACCAATTTAAAGAAAGGAGAAGAATGAAAATCGACTTTAATCATCTGTGCTTAGTGTAGTTATCCAACATTAGCATTACTTGACCATGATTAGAGGTTGTGTAGAGAACTTCCAAAAACATTCAGGATCAACATTAGTGTGAGGGTAGCAGATTTCGGGGTTAAAGGTGCCATTCGAATGCATTTTAAAGGAAGTCTTGACACCTCTCAGTCTCTTATTTCAAGGCCAAAACAGGAAACCAAAAACACACAAATGTCACTAAGAAAGCTCGCACAGCTGGATTCAACTAAGAGTCCCATACCACAGGCTCTGGAAAAGTGTCGGTGGTTTTCACAGCTCTCGTAGCACACATTAGGCGTAAAAACAAGGGATCACTTACACCAAGAATTCCCATCCATACGCCCGAGTTGGCATATCCATACTTTGAGGGCACAGTAAGGAAATGCTTGGGTTGTAGCAGAAAAGTGAGACATCGCCTCAAATTATGGGCAGGACTGCCAATAGATTTAATCTTTTATAGCTAGAAAGATGCAAAAACCTCAATACCTCAGTGTCCAGTACTGTATGTCCTACTGTACAAATCATTTGTTACTCGGGAATATGTCACAGTTGATGATGAAATCCTAATTCCAAGGCTGATGTAGTGATTTAGGATAGTTTTGGCATTGGTTTTTGGGTGCTTCTTCAACTTTTCATGCTGCACTTTCAATGTCCATAGCGTTGACTTTTATAAAAAAAATATTTCATAATTTTAAAGACAACATTAAAATGATCGGAAACTATTGTTTTGGAAACTTTTTATCATGGTTTTATTATTCCCTTTATTGTTTTACCCCATCCCAGAATCTTGATTTTTAATTATGAAAATCCATCATAAATATGCACATTTTTACATGTTTGGTTACATTCTATTTTAAGGTGTCCTTATTACAGTGTAATTATAAAACATATAATGAGTAATGTTAATTAAGAACATGTACTTAATATATAACTAGGGTTAGGGTTAATTGCTTAAAATTATGCATAATTTACTGTTATTACTATAGTCAGAACAAGTAAGATGTGTAACAAAGACACTGTAAAATACAGTGTTACCATGTTTTATATAAACTACAATAATCTAAACAGAGTTTTTTTTAAGTTTAAAAAAATATTTCTACTGTATGTCTACTGTAACGTTTTACAGTATTTAAATTCCAATTAAGCTTCAAAATTGGCCTCAGAAAGACAAAAGA